TATTTAAACATTGTTTTCTTCATTGTGCCCTATTTAACTCGGATTATTAGTTCTATATATGCTACATGTATCTTAATAGTTACATTGTATCATTTTTTAAAATCATCATACACACACACACACAATCATTTGTAAAAAATGATACAGTGTAATTCAAAATACGTGTCGATACAATAAAAAAGCATAGTAGAATATATTAGAGGATATATATATATATATATATATATATACATACAGGGTGACCCATTTTAACTTAGACAGCCAAATAACTCGAAACATCGCGATTAAATAAAAAAATGTTTAAAACAAAAATTGTTGGATAAGAAAGGACTGATTGAACTATGACCTTGACCTTCATTTTCAAGGTTATTTGAAACTCTACTTTCAATTTTCAAATAGAAACCCATATTTTTGATCCCGGATTTTGAAAGAGCGCAAAATTTTACGTCCAAATGAACTTTCATGTTATGGGTCAAAGTTGACCATAGAGGTCATTTCAAAGATAAATTCCTAATCGAAGCAGAAAGCCAAAAAATCTTGATTTTTCCCGGATAGTGTTTGTGAGAAAAATTGTTGGATGTCAGGGGAGACCAAACCATGACCCTGACAATGTCCTTAAACCCATGTTTTCATGACCATTTCAAGGTCAAGTGGGGATTTTCAATAAAATTTTATGCTGGGGATAAAAGTAATTCCCTCTAAATCGACCTAGCGTGAGTTGGGCTGTTTGTTGGTTCGCACTTACCTAGACAACCATGGGGTCTAGCACAGAACTGGCTACTTACCTCGGTGAAGAGATGACCCACCAGTCACATAGTGCAAAACCCTGCCCCACAGCTACCTTGGTTCAGCGCTTAAGCCTTCCCACCATTTACAAGGTCCTACAGCCCCTAAGGAAGGTATGTGACCCAGCCAGTGAAGGCAAGGTCGTGTGGTGACCCAGCCAGTGAAGTCAAGGTCGAGTGGTAACCCAACCAATTAAGGCAAGATTTCATTGTTATCAGCTCTCTCCGCATGGAGGAGATGCTCAAAGTGTGCACCATTATTTTCTAAACATAACAGTAATCGACGGCGAAAGTTACGTTGTACATTTCCAAGCATTAAAGGAGTTATCGCTTTACAAGCTCTTCTTATTCTTTCCATCATAATCTTGTCGTTGGAACTTCACTATACACTGCATCTTTAACGTATCCCCATAAAAAGAAATCAAGGGGGTTCAAATCTGGTGATCTCGGAGGCCACAGAACTAGTCCACCCCACCCTATCCACCGATTTGGGAATCTTTGATCCAAAAACATCCGTATAATACGAGCATAATGAGCAGGAACACCATCTTGTTGATACCATAAATTTAGTCTAACTGCAAGGGGAACATTCGCTAGGTATGCTGGCAAATCATTTTCGAGAAATTCCAAATACATTGGACTATTAATTGTACGTTCAAAAAAATGAGGTCCAATGACTTCGCCATTGCAAATACCTACATACGTGTAAACTCCAACAATGTTGATTAAGCACCTCACGATACCAATGTGGATTTTCTGGTGACCAATAGTGGCAATTATGCCTATTGAGGCTACCATTGCTGATGAATGTTGCTTCATCACTGAAACAAACATTACTGAAAAAATCTGGATTCTGATCTAACATCTCAAGAGCCCATCTACAAAATTGTACTCTAAGTACGTAGTCGGCCTCACTTAATTCCTGTACCAGAGTAATATGATGCGGATGGTAATTGACTGATCGTAACAATCTGTGTACCGTAGTTTGAGGGATTCCCAGTTCTCGTTCTACTTGACGGGTACTAATATGGGGATTTTAATGAACCATAGCCAAAACTGCGAGCAATCTAGGATCATTATCATTATGAAGTCTATTCCTTCGCCTTTCGCGATGAAATGGATTATTACAAGATCTCCTTTCAATGTTCATAATTTGTTGAGCAGTAGGATGGCGGCGATTTGGGAATCACTCCGCATAAGTACGGGCAGTAAGTCTGTAATTTCTACAACATTCACCAAAGGTTATAAGAATATCGACTACTTCTGTAGGCGTATAATTTGCCATTTTACTGACCAGAATTTTATCAGATTACAAATGTTAAAAAAAATACATAAACACTTGTGACTTTGGCACTAAATGGAAGAAATTTTGGAGGGATACTTAGAGGAACTCCATCAGATGAAAAGTTTAATTTTCGATTTTGAAGGTAAGGTATGCTAATATCTAAAGAATCACAACAAGAAAATACATATGTAGCATAAAATTTTATTAAAAATCCCCACTTGACCTTGAAAT